GAGGTGGCTCAGTGGATACGTTACCTGTACAAGCAAGGGGACCTGAGCCTGAGCCCCAGAACCCACACAGAAATGCTGGATGTGGTAGCATGCTCTTGTAATCCCAGCACTGGGAAGGTAGAGACAGGAAAATTCCTGGGGCTTGCTGGCCAGCCAGTGAGGGACACTCTCAACCCACAAAGCCAACAGCACCAAAGGATGACATCCAAGATTTGCCTCTGGTCTCCACATGTTCACCCACATGTACGTGTAGACCCACATGTACATGGGGACACACACACATATTCTCTCTCTCTCTCTCTCTCTCTCTCTCTCTCTCACACACACACACACACACACACACACACACACACACACTCTCTCACTCTCTCTCTCTCTCTCTCTCTCTCTCTCTCTCTCTCACACACACACACACACACACACACACACACACACACACACTCTTATTCTCTCTCACACACTTTTTTTAAATTTATTTTTATTATTTTATGTGCATTGGTGTTCTGCCTGCATGTGTGTCTGTGTGAAAGTGTCAGGTCTCCTGGAACTGGAGTTCTAGACAGGTGTGAGCTGCCATGTGGGTGCTGGGAATTGAACCAGGTTCCTCTGAAGAGCAGTCAGTGCTCTTAACCACTGAGCCATCTCTCCAGCACCCTCTCACACACACTCTTAAATTCTCTCACATATACTCTTACATATTTTTCTCTCTCACATACTCTTAAATTGTGTCTCACACACACTCTTAAATATTCTCACAAACACATGCAGACTCACATACACACACAATCATACACTCTTACACTCATATATTCTTTCTTTCTCACACACACAATAATCTGCTTGTAACAGCAGGAACAGGTGTGTGTGTGTGTGTATCTCAATCTTCTCTCTCTCTCTCTCTCTCTCTCTCACACACACACACACACACACACACAAATATTCTGCTTATAACAGCAGGAACAGGTGTTTTTGCTCAGGATCAAACTACTTTTAATGAACAAGGCTAGCGCTGGTCATCTCCTGAGACGCCTGCCTAGGAACTGTCCCCTCCCTCTCTGTCCCCTCCCTCTCTTCTAGCCTGCTGCAAGCTCCCTGGCTTAGTCATGCCTGGCTCCATATTTAACATGGCGAGTGTGTATGGCAGACGATATGAAATCTGTCACAGAATCTAACACAATTCACTCGATATCTCCAGATGCGTTTCACGTCTGCTGCTAGACTGCGAGTCCTTAAAGAGAGAGGACCACATTGTCAAACAAAGGACAGACATCCCCGATTAAGAATCAGGTTTCTTTGCCCAAACTCAGTCACTTAACAAGTCTGTGAGGGGTTGGGCTGATACGTTGGCCAAGATCTCTGATTCTCTGGAAACTGGATTTGAGCCTTAACTCAGACACAGCGCCTCAGCCCTGTGCACGTGATGCCCATACACAACCCAGCCTAGCAGGCCAGTTTGTTCATCTCACTCTCAGAGCCACAATTTGCCATCACGGGGCTGAGGGAATCGCTTTGGCAAGAGCTTACCCTTTTAAGATTCACTTTGACCAAATGCGCCCCCCAAAACTGTGCGTTTGGGTTCAATTTTTTTTGTTTTGTTATGTTGTGTGGTGTTTGTTTTAGCAATACTTTGTGTGCCCTAAAGGCCCGAGGAATTGGCTCCCAAAGAGCACACACTGTAGGAAGACCCAGAAGTTCATTCCACAGTCAGCCCAAAACTTCATCCAAACAAAGGTTGTGTAATAAAAGGGGCCCAGATTCAACACTGCAGAAACACATTCAGATCCTATCTGAATCTGCTCGACTGTCTCGCCTTTCTATGCCCGCACCTCCCTAATTAATCTAACTACCCTGGCAAAGAAGTGGCCCCCTCACCTCTCCCTCTGTGTCTCTGCAAGATCCAAGGCTAATTGGCCAATGCAACCTGTCTCTCTGACAGCCTTAAACTGTAGACGCAATCATAAATGAGAATAAGAAAGAAAATCCACCAGGAAGGAACACTAGAATGTTTCCTTTTCCCCTTTGAAACTTTACCCAGGTTACTGTCTGCAACTCTCAAAAGCCCAAGAAGTTGGGGAATGTCGGCATCCAATGCTCCAGCTGAGGAACCTGGCATTTCACAGTTAAGTAGCTTCCAGAAAGCTCCAATGCCAGGAAGGGATCCGTCAAGGGTCTGAATGGCGGCCAGGGCTCTAAGCCTTTCTGTAAAGCTTGCTCCAATCTTAGGCTCATCATCTCAAGTCACTGTGAGTTCCTGCCTTATAGACATGCTTAGGCTGTGGCCGTGAGACCACATTAGGGCTTGAGAGAATGGAAGCGCCTGGACCATGCAGCGGGCTGAAGCAGCCCGCTGCAAACTCCTGAGTTGGTTACTCTCTTCAGAGCACAGAAGGTGGTGCTGTTCTGACTTGAGTCTCCCTCAGAAGGCCCTTCTTTCCAGGTCAGAGGTTCTAAGCTACAGGAAATGACTCTCCTCTGTGAGCAGGACCCCCACTTCAGGCAGGAAAGCTGATTTCCCAAGCATCTCCTAAGACCTGCTCTCAAAGGGACTGGATCAACTGTAATTCTACCCAAAGAGGGAGCAGGCTCCTGAGCCTCCTCAACGGAAGCTTCGAGGCAAGTTGTGGATGTCACGCTAATAGCATAATTTTTTTTATTTTATTTATTTATTTATTTATTGCTGTTCTTGACACTGACTCACCAGGCACTGACCAGGCAAGCACAATGCTGACCTCTGTTTTTGTTACTGCTGCTTGTGGTATTTTCTCTGCAGCCAGACGTGGGGTTTTCCACCTGACAATTCCAGTTTCTCACTTGGGCTCTTCTGCCATCTGTGAACAGTGCACTCAGTGGGGGAGGACGCTGCACCCAGGAGGACTTCTCCTCTCCAAACGTCAGTTTCCTACCGGTTAAAAGCAAGCCGGTCACCGGAGGATCTGGCTAACGCTCAACTTAGCAATCAAGCCGAAAACAGCCAGATGGAGAAGTGGAGCAGCTTGGGAACTGTCAGTTCTTGAGCATGTATCTACCGCCAGCTGCACAATCTTTACATAATTCTTGAATAAAACAAGAGATTTCGCTGCAATTAATAGCACAATGGGAGGGAGATCTAGACAATAACAGCGCACTGGTCTCGTCAAGGAGAAACGAGGCTCCATCGTTCTCTGGGCGCCCCCTAGTGGCCATGAGGCTAAATCCTGGCAGAATGTTCAGTTTTGTGCAAATAAAGAGCCAGACACCCACTGAAAGAGAGGAAGGCAGGCCCCTACCAAGGCAAGTCTAACTGAGCCCGGGGCTCAGACAGTCAGAAGAACGCCTGACTGGAAGCCACAGTGACGCTCAGCAGGCAAGTGTACGCCGCCAAGACTCAATGCAGCTCGGTTGACTCCCAAGAAGGTGCCGCAGACCCTAGATCCACCCTGGCTACTCAGCCCCTCACATCCTCCCATCTTCAACCTGCACCTCAGACTGGGTCTGTGTTCCATTATCCTGCTTTTCAACTTCCCAGCGCGATTCCTCAGCAGCAATATAGGCAACAGGAGCAAGGAGCTACACTTAGTTTTTCTGCTTATTCAACACCCAGCCTGGGGAATATCAACTCAGAAGAAACGCATGAATGAAGCCTGCTTCCCGGGCACTTCCTTCGTCAGAGAACACCTTTGCAACCATCTCCTCCTCAGAATTCTCAGCCCATAGGGCAAAGGGCACCTGCACAACTGCTTTGCAACTTGCTGTAGAATTCACATGTGGCAGAGCGGTTTTATTTTGAGGATACAATTCTCATTCCCCAATTCATTGACTTTTTAAGTGATAATGTAGCCCCAACCTTGACAGTGAACCTGAGAAGCTGAAGAGGGGGGGCTATCCAGCTGGCCACATACTTGAAAATTACAAGGGTAAACCTTGCTGACTGTAATCATTTTCCACAGCTATCTGACAGCTCACTTGCCCTTCCCTGTAGCCACTGGTTAGGTTTATAAGCAACAGTGGGTCCCCAAGTACCCCTAAAAGTGAACATAAGAAGGTATCATAGTTGGTTTCTTACTTTGGCCCTAAATCAATTAAAATACATCTGATACTCTTTAAATCCGAGAACCATGCTCATTTCTGCCACACACCACACAAACCCTTTCTGCAACAGTCAGACACTTTGGACCCAACTCTAGCCACAAGCAGTGTGGATTCCAAGGGCCTGTTCTGCAAATGGGAAAATGACAACAAGCCAACGCTGGGACAACTCTGAGCCCCTGAGGCACTCCGAGCACTGCTCGGTACCCTGGCAGAGCTTCAGCCGTTACCGGGGCAGCTAGCCAGACCTCTTGAACAATTTAGTAGCCCTGTAGCCACGATCTGGAAGGCAAGCAAGCCTGCAGCAAGTCACATCTGTGTCTGAATGGCCACCCATGCCCTGGCCATGGCAGCCTTGCCAGAGGCCAGAATACAAACTGTCAAAAACCTCAGACATTCGGTTGGAGCTTTTGGTTTTTACAGGCAACCGTCTTGTCTTCTTTTGCCCAACAGCAGCATCAGGGTGATCAAGCTCAGCGAAAATATACAGAGAAGTGGGATTGTGGTAAGATGGAAAAGAAGTGAGGGTCCCGAGCAACTATAGGACACAGACTTAAGAGTCCAGCTTCATGACTAAGGATGTGGGTCTTCTGGAGTTGTACAAATAAGGAACTCTTGGGTAAGGCATGAAGGTGTGTCTGCGGGGGAGACCCCACGTTCCCAAAGCTGCAAAATATTTGCGAATCCTAAAAACACTTTGCTAGCTGGTGGGAAAAAGGGGGAAGCCCCAAAATATGTGCAGACAGGATGTAACAAGTGTTTCCAGAGATATACACCTGAGTCATGGGTGCTGAAGGGAAAAGTCAGGAGCGTGACTGGGGGGCTTCTGCCAAGACCCCTCTTGGTGGAGAGAGCCTCGGTGGTGTGGTATGCCCAGACCCCACTTGGTCTACCGCGGAGCTAGCGGGTACCACCCAGGGATTTCCCCTACTCACCACTCGGCCTGAAAACCTCTCGGTGGCTCTCTTGACTTTGCCGTAGGTACCTTTGCCCAGGGTCTCCTGCAGTTCATAGCGATGCTTCAAGTTGTGCTTGTGGTGATGTCTCTTCACCCCGTGCGGCTTCCTGGGCTCTGTTGGGGCTGCAGTCGCCCCGACCACCGCCTCCGGCGGCCCCGGCTCCACAGAAGGGCCATCTCCTGCCGCGGGCACAGCCGCCTCTTCCATGTCCAAGCGCGGGGCGAGCCGGGCTGGAGAGGGCAGGACCCGGCACGCACAGGGGCTCTGGGTGGTCCCCGCTGAGGGAAACCAGGGTGCGTTCAAGGTCTTCCCCGCAGCATTGCTGAGACAACCCGACCTGGCTCTGGCTTACCGCTGGGTCACTAGAGGCGGCGGAGACTGCACATCTGGCGCCCCGGGCGCGCACGCTCGGCGCACCGCCCCCCGGCCGGCCGCAGCGACAATCTGCGGAGCGTCCGGCGAGGTGGCGGCGGTGTCAGGGGAGGCGGTGGTGTTAGCGAGAAGGAGGGGAGAGGGTGGCTCCGAGCGCAGAGAGAGGAGTGTTATGTGGGGCGCCGCGCCCCCCGCCCCCGCGCCAGAAGGACGCGCAGACGGGGCGGGGCGGGAGGGGAGCGCGGGGCGGGCGCCCGGGTGTCCCCACCTCCGCGTCGGGCCACCGCGCAGGGAGGGGGCGGGGTGCGTGTGGTCGTTCGCCCTTTGTGCGGCGCGGCGCAGGCCCGGGCGGCGGCCAGGGAGCTTTGTCCTCGGCAGGCGGGGGACAGACGGTCCCGGTGGGGTGGGGGGTGGTCCTCAGAGCGTTTGTCTCCCTTCCCGGGCTTCCCGCACTCACCCTCCGGAGCTACTGCGGGCGGTCTGCGGCTGGCTTTGGCCGATCGGCCACGGATAAAGCTCGCCGGGCCCCGAGGCCGCAGAGGCGACTACGCACAGAGTTCGGGTGGCCCAGGCGTGCGCGTTGTGGCCCGGGGCTGCACCCTTCCGGGCCACCCTTCATGTTTGTTATGGTGTCGCAGCGGCCACCAGGCCCGCGAGAGCTGGGGGAGGCCGGGGAAAGGAGGCACAGCGGTGTTGGGTTACCGGCGGTGAGTCACGGTCTCCTCCCGCTGCCGAGGCCCTGCAGGCCTCCAACTCCGGCCTGGCCAGGGCAGCACCCTCCTGGTGCCACCGCGGAACCTGGAAAGTCCCCCGGGAGGGATGCTTCGGGACCCCGCACCCGGCTTTCTCAGGGAGAAAGGCGGAGTCAGGAACGAAGGGAGGCCCAAAGGAGGAACCCGGCCCTTTGGGGCGCTGATCACCCGTGAGGTCTGGGAGTCCGGCAGGAACAACCGAAAAGGGGAGGAAAAGTGGAGGCCTGGATGGAGCTGGATCTCCCGAGTTGCCCAGACCAGTGGGAAGGCCCCTTTCCGAGGTGGACAGACCATGGTTCTCGGTTGGACCAGTCCCAAGACCTGGGCCTTCTGAGCAATTCCTTGCCCAAGCCAGAGGCCACTTGCAGGCCTCCTGACCCCCTCGGGTGATGGGAATTTTCCTTGACTAAAAAGGCCAAATCTCCCCCACCAGGTGAGGGTCAGGCAGGAAGGCCTCCCAGCTGCAGGGAGGGAAAAAAAAATAAGACATGAGGGGGGGAAACTTTAAGAGGCCTTAGGAAATTTTTTCAAGTAATTTCATGTAAATTACAGTGTTCCAGACTAGGGTGGGAAGAGCGAACAGGAAATTTCTAGAGGCTGGTGTGTTCTGCGAGTTGCCCTGGAGCTGGCGCTTGCCCTGCGCCCCTCCGGTTCCTCCCGCCCTCTGCATTCCACACTGTCTTCACTCCTGTCTTATCACCTTACACTGGACTTCGACAGCCTGCCTGCCCGAGACCCCCACCCCCACCCTCGCTGCCAGAATTACACCGCGTACTCAGATCCGCCCCTCACTCCTCTGCTCCGTTCTGCGCTCGGTAGCCTTATCTCCAAACTTTATTTACTTGTTTTAGGGATGCCTGAAACCCCTCCGCCAGCCCCGGCCCTCCCTTAAAAGCACCCAACAAACGCGCAAAGGCCGTGTTTATTCTGATCTATTCAGCCCAACAACCCCTTCAGTGACTCCCTGCCCCCATCCTGAAGCGGCACGCTGCTTTTAAAAAGTCCGCAGACATGCATGAAGATTGCAAGACAAGTTGGTGGCATGCAGGTAGAGTCCTGGGTCCCCACTGAATTGGCTGGGAGACTTTAGTTAAACGATTAACCTTTTTCTTCAGTTTGCTCTTAAAATAAGTCTCAGTGAGTCTGGTTGATTTTAGTTGTGGCTTGGTTTTCAGGTGAACAGATTGTGTCTGTATTGGTGATTAAGATGACAAGTGCCCTGGTCCCTTCTGTCCCTGGGATGTGGTAGGATATACCTGCCCACACCTTCAAGGTTACCTGTGCACCTATAACTTGCATTGGTTGTTAGAATCAGTGCAAAAGCGATGGTTCTTCTGCCTGGAACCTTTAACGTCTGGGTAGTAAATTGTCATGTCCTCTCCTCACCTTGACAAGCAGAGCAGAGTCTGGGCAAGCTGAGACTGTAGAGCGAACAGATTCGTCCCCAGGAAGGCTGAGCTGGAAAGCCAGCATGAGCAAACACCCTTTTGCTGTGTTCAGCCAACGAAGTGGGCATAGCCTTTCTGACAGCATCGCTCTCAAGGGCAAGGGTTTCAGCCCTGTCTGCTGAACGGGCAGAACCTCCCTCGTGCTGGTAACCGGTTGACGGCGATGCATGCTATGGAAGGTAGCTGCTATAATCTGTATTCAGCTGGGTCGATCATATTAGAAAGGTTTAAAGCTTTGCCTAATATCACTTAGCTTGCACTGGGTGACGGCAGTACCAAGACTTAAACCCTCCCTCACCCGCTCTATAGGCGCCAGGCTACCTCTCATTAAATGGGAAGGAGGTGAAACCCAACTACAGTGCATGACACACAGTCACGTCCAAGCTTTGGCAGCTCCTGCCAAGCCTGAATTCCTGTAACACTGATAACTGTGAGCTTTTTAATTGCATGCATTTGTCCTGTATATGAATATATGCGTGTACATAGACACGTGTGGGGGTAAGGATACCGTTCAGAAGTCACCTCTCTCCTTCCACCACGTGGCCCCAGGGATCAAACTCTGATTGATCATCAATCTTGATGACAGAGAGCCTTTATCTGCTGAGCCGTTGTCCATCTAGACGTGGTTTGTTATTACACAGGACATCTCCTCTACCCAGCCCAAGCTCCTTTCTCAAACTCAGAGTTTGAGTTTTAGAGTCCAACTGACGGGGTCCCAGTCCCAACTTGATATTCACGGCGACTGCCTTGAACCATTATCTCCTCTTGATTTGTCAGCAGTGATGGGGACAGCTGTGTCACCGCCAGTGGTAACAGTGTGTCATGCAAGGTTGGCGTGGACCTTAACAGATAGGATGCGCGCTCGGTAGATGACGGCTGTCGCCGTCAGGCCTACTGCAACTCCTTGCAAGGCTCCTGCCAGCGCTCTGAGGAGTTACTGGCAGCTTGATCACACGACTTGGTAGCTGCTGGTTCTGCCTGGATACTAGGCAGATGTTGTAACATCTGCACTCACAAGGTCTAAATCTTTTAAGCTTTTCAAATCAGCTTAAAAGAGCGTGTGTATGTTTGCTTTCTTGAGAAAGCTTTGTTCAGAAAACACAGTAATACCAACCTACCATTTCTCGTGTGTGTGTGTATGTGTGTCTGTGTACGTGTGTGTGTCCCATTCAAACCATATATATGTAATATACATACAGTGTATATGTGTACAGTGTGAGTGATTTGAACCCTCACCTAAAGGCTCCCGAGTTTGGACACTTTTTTCCCAGATGGTGGTCTGGTTTGCGGAGGCTGTGGAAGCTTTTAGAGGTTAGGCCCAGCAGGACAAAGTGGATCACGGCAGGGAGAATCCGATGAGTGTTATAGTCCTGTCCCAGGTGATCTCTGCTTCCTGCTCCCCCAAGATGTGAACAAGCAGCCACATACTCCCACTGCCATGACCTCCACCATGCCTTCCCCACGACTGTGAACTGGCGCCTTTCAAACTGAGCCAGGAGAAATCATATTCTCCCTTAAGTTGCTTCATAGTAGAGAGGTGGTGAGATTGGATTGGTGGATTTATTTATGTAGCATTACTTGTATGAGGGATCTAATCAGAGAACCTTTATTAATGCTATCTTCCTACTGTGTGCCCAGCTCTGGGGCTAACATGGTCCCTCTTCTTCCGGCCACCAGAGTAGCAAACAGTTACCGCATCCAGCTGGCCTCCAGCCACCAAGCTTGGGAGAACTCATGCTCTTTGGATATGAGATAGATAAAAGCAGAAGTTTACTCAGGAATTGATACTGAAAGCTCAGTTTCTTCCCACCTGCTAAATGGCTGGTAACCATAGCACCGGGGGGGGGGGGGGG